GAGTGGGAAAGCCCGCAGAGACGGTTGTGGCGGGAGCCCCGCCCCTCCCCCGGAGGTGGTTCAGCCTAGCCCCCCACTCTGCTGGGCTGGGCAGCGGGGACCCCTCGCCGGGTGCCGGGTCAGAGCTGGGCCAGTGGGGAGCCCAGTTCAAATCCCCCTTCAGCCGGAGTTGGGAGGCAACTTGAGCCCAATCTCCCCCCTACACCCTGATTCTCCCCCTCAAATGGGGAGCCCCCAACCCACTGGGCTGCTGGGTCCATTGGGGCACCCCCCACATCCCCTCCCCGGCCGGGCTCTGCGCAGGGCCCGATGCGGGGAGAGCGCCCCCAGGGGTCCCCTGGATCAGGCCCCCAGGGGTCAGTGGCAGGGGACCCCTCGTCTGGGAATCCCGCGGGAGGCACGGGCTGAGCTGGGAACTTTGGCAACTGAAGTATTTTAGGGGCAGGAGATTCGGGGGCCCCCCATGTTCAGTGGCAGCGTTAGGCCCTAAATGCTGGAATTCAGGAGAGAAATTGCTTGGTCTGGCCTCTTGGAACTTCGAGCGAGTCACATCCCTGCCCCGTGCCTCAGTTTCCCCAGGGAGAGGACGGTGGATGGCTCAGGCCTGTCAATAAGAAGAGGATGTTGATGGGATGGGAATGGGAGGAGGTTAAATCTCAGGCGTTTCCTCTCACGCAGGGCGAGAGAGAAACCAGACCTCTCACAAGGGCTGTATGAGCTCCCGCGAGTGCAACGCCGGACCCATCTTCATGACTTTTGGGAAGGGGAAGACAAAAAGAGCGATCATCGCCTGCTGCCAGGTGGACGGCTGCTCCCCAGACGTGGCTAAAGGTACAGCGCCCTGTCCCCGCCCCCGTCTCTGCACTTCCTCCTTCCTGGGACCTCCCCGCCCCCATCCTCCCTTCAATGGGGCGCCCCATTGAATAACACAGAGCCCGGGATGGGTGGCAGGTGGGGGAAGGGCTCTAGGCAGGCACCAGGTGTGAGCCTCCCCAACTGCTCTCCCTGCCCTGATGCCCCGTGGGGCTCGTCCCCCGAGCTGACTGTGTTTGCCCCCCACCCCACCCCGTTCCCAGTGCCCTCGCTAGACACCAAACCCAATGGCCGCAGAGCAGTGTCATGAAGAGACCATCGACTGTGTGGGAGCTGAGACCAAATGCATCGAAGTCTCTGGAACCACAAAAGCTGGTAACTTCCATGAACTTTTTTGGGGGGGATTTTCCTTGGCCGTTTCCCTCCCTCTGCCCCCCGTAGGGCAGAAGCCAGACACCGGGTGGGGCCCATTAGAGAAAGGTGTCGTCAGCAGATCAGGACACTAGGCCTCCGTGCCTCTGGACTGACCTCGCACCCGGGTCTTCCCTCCTCGTGCCTCTCGCTCTCCACCCGACCTCATCAGTGCAGGGCCTGGCTCAACACAGGGGGCCCTGGCCATGCTGGGCCCTGCCCTCACAGGAACTGAGCCATGCTAGGCACTACAGGCTTGCAGGGAGGTATTGCCCATGCCCCAATGAGCTTGCAGTCTGAGTCAGCAAGGTGGGGAAACGCTCCCCAGTTAAAAAGTGGGGAAACTGAGGCAGGGAATGGTGCCAGGACTAGCCCCAACTCACACAAGAAGGTTGTGGTTGAGCTGGGAACTGACGCTAGTTTTGCAGAGTCCCCTTATGGCGCTTTAACGCACGACAAAGCCTCCGTTCTTCGAGATCCCACCGCTGCCACCAACACTGAGCTGCTGCTCTGCAAGAGTCCGACCCAGTACAGGTGTCCTCAGTGAATGGGGGAGGCAGGTGACTTGAAGGACACCCCATGCATGCATGGGAAGGAGAAGGGGGAGGCCATGGCAAGCCAGACCAGCGAGAGGGAGCAGAGCTGAAGGGGAGATGGAGGCTGGGGAAGGCCGACGGGGGACGTGGGGCCCAGAGGCAGATCTGAGCCAGGCAGGCTCCTGTGTCCTAGTCCATCCCCAGGAAGAGAGCTGCACCCCTCACACTGATCATCTTCCCCCCGCCCTTTTCCCACGCAGGTGGGACTGCCCGAAAGGCCATCATGAAGGGCTGTGTGACCCCGGCCGCCTGCACCTATATCACAGAAGGACAGGGGTCCTTTGCGGGGATCGATGCTGATCCAGCCGATGTCAAATGCACAGAAGCCTCCAGTGTGATCAGCAGAGCCGTGCGCCCCGCCGGGGTCCTGCTTCCTGCCCTCGCCGGCCTCCTCCTGCTGATGCTCCGCTCCTGAACCCACCCCCCCAAAACGCTGGAGCACCGCCCACACCGGGCCCCCTGCTGCCCGCATTAGCCCCTCTCTGCTGCTCTCCCCCAGGGGCCCTGGCCCCAGCCGGATTCGCTCCCCCTGTGCAACGTGCTGCTTAATAAAACAAATGGGAGAGCAAATTCTTTGAGACTTGGGTCTTGATTGTGTGCGCGTGTGGGGGAGGGGCATTGATGAAGTGGGCGGGGCTGTGAAGAAGCCAATTAGTCTGAGCGTGGTGTAACAAGGCAGCCCAGCTGATGCCCTCTCCAGCCCTGGAGAAGTTGGCAGTAGCTGCCCATCTGCTCCAGGAGCGGGGGTAGGAGGGCGAAAGTAGCCGGTGTGGGTGAGGCATTTCCCCACAATCCCAGGCTTCAGAGTCTGGTCTCCCCCAACCAAACCACAAAGTTGGGGGCACAGCCCAGAGCTGTGTGAAGGCTCAGTCATGGGGACCTAACACAGCCCCCCAGGGAAAACAGCCCCCATGGGACCAGAACCCCAGACCGATCCGTCTGACTCGGTCAAAAAGCTTTATACAGAGCTCGTTAGGACACCAGGCGCATTCCCCCCTTATCAGTGAATTAGAGGCAATTCTTGTCCCCCTGCCCGGTTACAATTATTTACACTGGGTCCATTGATCAACCAAAGCGCTTGTATTAAATATCAAGAGCAGATCTCAGTGGCTGCAGGCGATGGCAGCCAGATCAAAGTTAGTTACTAAGCGCAATAAAACAAACTGCACCCGCCCAGCCTCGTGCGCTCAGAACACCTGGTGCAAATTCTAATTTCTCACCCTCCTCCCGACTTCAGGCAAAGTCCGTTTCGGGCCAGCGCGGATCTTTCGGGCCTGCGTCCAGCACCGCGCATCTCCATCGCTGCCGCTCGAGTTCTTTAGTTTCCAGCTGTTTGCAGGTATCCTCGAGGACCTGGGAGCCGGCTGTGAAGCTAGATTAAGACAAAGCTTCTTGCACGAGTAATATGCAAATGAGGCTCAGCGTGGAATATCGCCGAGCCTCATTTGCATACCTAACGAGCCACCATTGTTTTCAGAAGAGGCTCTTGCGCAAGAAGGAGCATCTACACTGGCCCTTCTTGCGCGAGAAAAACCCTCTTGCCGTTACACCTATTACTTTTCAGGAAGAACGGCCTTGCGCAAGAGGGCTTTTCTCACGTAAGAAGGGGCAGTGTAGATGCTCCTTCTTGCGCAAGAGCCTCTTCTGAAAACAATGGTGGCTCGTTAGGTATGCAAATGAGGCTCGGCGATATTCCACGCTGAGCCTCATTTGCATATTACTCGTGCAAGAAGCCGCGAGTGTGGACATAGGCCCTGTGTTTGCTTCCCATCCCTTCAGTTGCATTTCCCCAGGGGGAGAAGTCTGTTCCCCATCACACACCCCTCCCCGGGTGGAAAAGCACAACCTTCAAGGTGGATTCCAGCTCTAGAGGACTCAGGCTACCTCTAGCTGACAGGTTTCCTTCAGAAAACGCTTTTCTGGAACAACTTCGTCCCAAAGAGCGTCTACATGCCAGAAGTGCAAAGAAAAAGCGATGTGCATTTTTGAAGGCGCGTCCACACTGAACGGACACGACATCGCATTTCGGTTGTGATGAGTATGGATTCAGTGGTCACGAGGGCACTGCTGTTAGTTCCTGGAGGCCTCCTCTTTTGAAAAGACTCCCTGTCCCCCGTCCACATGCGTTTTTGGAAAAAAAGCTTCCTCCTCCTAGAAGGAGGTTCACCGCGGTCAGAAAACCCCCGCCGTTCTTTCAGTTTTCTGTCGAAAGAACTCAAGGGCAGTGCGGATAAGTATTGTTTTTCAGGCAATGTTCTGCAGTGTGGACACACCCACAGCGGTGTGAGAGACGGAGCGTTGTCAGGGACACCGCTGGGGGCCTGCGTTCGGGAGTCTGGCTTTCAGTCACAGCCCAGAGCGGTCCGAGGCTGCAAAGGGGGCGCTCGTACACAAAAGACGACAGTGGCTGCTTTTGGGAGGGTGTCACCCCTATCGCTAGAGACAGCCGCACGCCCAGCCTCCCTCCTCGACAATCAGCGAAAGGAGCAATGAAGCCTCTTAGCGGAGTCGAGAGCAGCGGACGATGGAGCGACGGCCCAAGGCGCCCGGCTGGACGGCCTGACCTACCCCCACAGCCATGCAGAGAAGAGCCGCAGCCCAAGGGAGAGCCTGGGAGAACCGAGCTGTGCGGTCCTTGGTTGGGGGCCGGCAGGGGGTTTCTAGGCATGGAAGCTGCCTAGTGTGGCCAGGTGTCCGGTTCCAAACGGGACTGTCCGGTATTTGAGGTTTCTCTCTGGGAAACAAATTGAGAAAATCCTGGACTTAGAAATGTCGGGTATTTTCTAATTAAGGAAGTTGTGTTATTATCATGAGTCTCAGAACGCAGTCGTGTACTGCCCGGCTGGGAGACATGCTCACGCTGCGTACGCAGTAACGCTGTAGAGGGGGCGGGCGGGGCCGGGGAGGGATTGAATCCCCGGGGCTGGACTCACCCATGCGCCTTGCCGGGACCGTGTGCAGGGACGGGCAGCACCCCGGGATCTGCATGCGCCCAGGCCAGCCCCACTTCCTTCCGGCCAATTCCCTCCAGGCCAGCCCTGCTCTCCTCAACCCACTCCCGACCAGCCCTGCTCCCCGCTGGCCAGCTCCGCCTCCCCCTACCCTCGTCCCAGCCAGCCCTGCTTCCCACCAGCTGCCCCCCAACCCCATCTGAGATCAAGCGTGTCTGGTATTTTTTTGAAATCATCCGGTAACCCTAAAGCCGCCTGCTGCTCCATCTGAGAGCAGACCCGGGCCCATTCGTGGCCGACTCAGGGCTGCGCCCAGCCAGACGGAACTGCCTCTTCCATTGTCCCAGCCAGCCCTGCTTCCCACCAGCTGCCCCCCAACCCCATCTGAGATCAAGCGTGTCTGGTATTTTTTTGAAATCATCCGGTAACCCTAAAGCCGCCTGCTGCTCCATCTGAGAGCAGACCCGGGCCCATTCGTGGCCGACTCAGGGCTGCGCCCAGCCAGACGGAACTGCCTCTTCCATT